CACACACACACACACACACACACACACACACACACACGGGGTCCAGAGTAAGAACGTCCTCCTCACCGAAGTTGCACTCGTCCCCGAGCTCTCTGGCAAACTTGAGCATGGCCTCTGCGAGGAGGGCTTCTGCCTGCGGGTAGCCCGGCCCCTTCTCCTGGCCCCGGATTTTGGACATGGTATTGATCATGCTGAGTTTGGCTCTGGAAGCTGGAGGCAGAGGGACAGTGTGACACAGACAGCAGAGGCAGGACTGGCTGTGGAATCAGGCCATGAGCCAGTTCAGAGGCCCTGCCTGGTGCACGTCAGCAGCGTACCAGAAGGGTGGAGGTTCAAGTGCATTCCGAGGCACTTTGGAAGAAATTTCTGGCAATCGACTCCCCGAAACATCAGTCATTGGAAGTCCTGTGAGTACAGGCTCCCCGTGACACGCCTGGATGGGGTCTCTGTGAGTTAGAATCCATCTGCCCTGATGCAAAGCAACTCAATCCCTCAAAACTGTACCAAAATCTTCATCTACAAGGATAAGTACACAGGCATTCCTTCTAGGGTTCCAGGTCACACATGCCTGGATTTAATCCAAACGAAAAGTGTTTAAATATGCCTCTATGAGAACGGACTTACCTTATTCTCCGTAGGCCGCCATCTAAAACAGGGCCGAGACAAACATGCTTTCTGAGCGGGTCTGTTCAGGCAGTCATATCCAAGGCAGAGAGGTTGGCTCAAAATGCTACAGTGACCACTTTTTGGCATTCTAAAGGGTGACGATGACCAGTGCCTGGGTGGACACAGGTCAGTCATAGGGGCTTATGAAGAGGCTTTAGGAAGCCGGAAAAAAGATAATGGCCAGGGAAGCTGCGGCCAGGAATCCCCATTGTGACAGTGACCAGCTCATTTCTCCAAAGTACGCCGGCGCAGGCCCCAGGGTTATTGCTTTGGGAGGGGTGGCTCCATGGAGCACCCACCGACATTACTGGATTATGTGGCTTGATTACGTTTTGGGAGCTTTAGTGGCATAGTGGTTATGAGGTGGGCTGCCAACCACAAGGTCAGAAGTTCAAACCTACCAATCGCTCCTTCAGAGAATGACTTGGCTTTCTACTCCCGTAAAGAGTTGCAGTCAGTGAAGCTCAAAGGGGCAGTTCTACTCTATCCCCTAGGGTGCTATGAGGCAGAATTGCCGCTATGATTTTTTGAGAGCTTTCAGGATCCCAGTTTCATATTTCATGTCTCAAGAGTCTACAAAGTACTCTCTTCGTTAACAAATTAGCAGTGAATCTGTAGTGTGGCTCTTCTGCCATGTTTCAGTGACACAACGTCTAAAGCAGAACTGCTTTCCAAAGCATTTCTTAAGTCAAAATTCTGAAGCAAACAGTTCCACGAAGTTCAGAAACAAGAGGAATCCCTGCTCTGGCACGTATCAGCCTCTGAAAATGAGTGTTGTGGCAAAAGGAGACCTATTTCTATTTTCCATTTGTGTTTACTTGTATAGACACTACCTACAAAGCATTTCTCTTTATCGTGGAAGAAGCCACTGTATCAACAAACAGTTAAAGCCAATGGTTTACTGCTAGGATACTTTTATGAGTTCCCCAGGTTCCTTCTAGGAGTCTGGATTGTACATTAACTTAGGACTATGCCCAAGTCCTTATCGGTATGGAAATGAGGACAAAATCACAGTCCAGCATACTGTGGATAATATTTAATCATGAACTTTTGTTCCAAATAGGCTTTTCTTTAAACTCTGGTCCTCAAAGGTTGAGACTACAGAAAAGCAGAGCTATCAGGCCAGGCAGGCTTTCCCCACTTCCCAGCCCTGGGAAATTACAGCAAGCAAGAGAGTGAAAGGCCCCACGGTCACAAAGCACACAGCGAACTGAGATCACCCTGTTGCTACTTGTCCCCGAGCCCAGCCTAATTCATGGTAGCCATAAGTACCGCATAGACTCGTGCATAAGCCGAGTTTTCCAGCACATACTTTTATGCAGTTTTTGTAGTAAAATTAGGTGGGTCGGCTTATACTCAAGTATATACAGTATGTTGTTGTAAGGTATCATGAAGTTGGTTCCAGCCCATCCTATGCACAACAGGTGAGCTATCACCAGGGCCTGCACCAGCCTCACAATGGTTTCTATGCTGGCCAAAGCCCCTGCTGCAGCCACTCTGTCAGTCCACCTCGGGGAGGGGCTTCGTCTTTTCCGCTGCACTCTGCTTTGCCGACCATGACGTCCTTCTCCAGGAACTGGTCTCTGCCCACCCCTGTCTCTAAGGGGCACTCTGGCCATATGGACAGCACAGGGCACACAGAGCTGAAGGAAATGCTGGGTGGTCCAGCAGCGGCTTCCTGATGGGATGTTTGAGTTCACTGCTGTGGCTACCTGGTCCATCCACGTCATCGAGAATTTCTCTCATTTGCATTGGCCTCTACCTTCCCATGCAGGATGCCCTTGTCCAGTGATTGTTTTTTTTCTGCTGATATGCCCAAATGAAGCAAGTTGAAATCTTACTCCTTAGAACCATTCTGCTTGTCTTTCTCCTAAGACTGATGATATTGCTGGGGTTGGTTGCCACTAAGTAGATTTCAACTCATAGCAACCCACGTGCCTACGGGGAATTGCCCTGTGTGGTTTTCTGGGCTCTTAGCTTTACAGAAGCTGATGGCCTGGTCTTTCTCCCGTGGAACTCCAAGGCGGGTTTGAACTGTCAACCTTCTGGCTAATAGCTGAACACTGGCCTTTTTGTACCAGCAAGGCCCCTTAGATGGAGGGGACACTCCGTGAGAGTGAAGGATGTCTAGTCGATTTCGTGGCGGCATTAGTGAGAAGCACTGAACTACAACCCTTCTCTCTGGGCTGGGGACCTCCGGAGGGAGGGCTCTTCAGGCCGAGAACCAAGCACTGGGGTTGTCAGGCCAACTACATATGCTAAGCCACTGGACCAAACCTAGAATTTACATTTTCCTTACTCTCGCTCTCTCTCACAGAGAAGTGTATTATACATTTCAAAATTAAGACGTCTCCCTATCACCCACTTCTGAAGGGTCAAAATCATCAGAATGTACTTCCATAACCTTTTCTATAAAAATTCATATAGAAGAACCAGGAAATACACCGTCCCTGCCCTCAAGGAGCTCACAGTGTGGTGAAACACCGTGCGAACAGAAAGAGTGGCAGCCAAGCCCATCCCGCTGCAATGGCTAACACGCGCAGGGCACCACGGCAGGGCCCTCGAGGAGGGTGATGAAAGCAAAGTAAGGGCCCGTGAGACATCAGATGCCCAGCCTGAAGAGCAGGAATAAAGATAAATGGAGATCAAAGAAACCCATGTGGGAGTTAATCCCTTCAAATCCCCGCTTGGACCAATTTACATTCTGAAGATTTACCCTTTTCACGAAAGCTGGCTATTGATTTGTGCTGATAGCTTTGTTCTTGAAGCTCTGTCTCCTGGTTAGTAATTTTAAACTGTTAAATATACCGTGGCTGATTTTCAATTTCATCATTGTGAATGCTGTACAATGATGAAGATCTTTATTCTTTTACAAGTTACCTAAGAACATCTTGGATGTGTTCCACATTTTCATGAGAAAGAAGGAGAAACCATCATCCATTTATTTATCTGTTGTTTTTGTTGATGTTTCCAATCATCTACTCCAGTCCCAGTTGCCTACACTGGTTCCAGACTCCCGACCAGCTACGCATGTCAGAGTAGACCTGTGATCCAGTTTCCAATGACTCCTTCTTCTTAGGGCGCCCTCAAGTCTGTCTCCTGAGATGCCTTTGGGGAGTGGGGGGTGACTCAACCCTCTAACCTTCTGGTGATCATTTACCCCACCCGGGGATTCCATAATGAACTAACAAGGGTGTAAATGTACCAGTAAGTATAGGATTCTGATATAGGGCTATGTGTGAGTACACGTATCAATGCTATATTTTTAGGTGTGCTAAACACACACACACACACACACACACACACACACACACACACACACACACACACACCCATAGAGGGGCTCTAGTGGCACAGTGGGAGAAAGATGAGGCTTGCAGTTCCAGTAAAGATTTACAACACTGGAAAACTATGGGCGCAGTTCTACTCTGTCCTACAGGTTT